TGATAGGTAGATTGGTGCTGATTGGTGCTGGCTGTGTGTCCGTTGTTGTTTTTGGGTTGTAACGGCCTGGGTGATGGGTGGGGTTCGTTTGTTGACTAGGGCTGGTTTCCAGATGTCTGGTAGACGGGAGGTTTCGTCACGTTTATTCATGTTGTGGGGGTGTTTCTCTATTTCGATGGCTTCCATAATTATTCTCTTGTTCATCAAACCAAATTAATCTCCGAAACAGAACACTTCAACAAGAGAATAATTATGGAAGCCATCGAAACAGAGAAACAGCCCCACAACATGAATATGATGGAAACCCGGGAATGCATCTGCAGATAGCAACCTGGGTCCTTGTTTTCTTCAAGGTGAGAAGATGTCAGTAGCAAGAGGCATGTTGAAATCACCTCTCTAATTTGTCTCTTTTCTCTCCACCTGTCCTGTCCCAGATTGAAAAAGGAGGGAAAGCAGATTTATTGAACGCCCGTCTGCAACCCGGAGATGAAGTGATCCTCATCAATGAAGTCTATCTAAGCAGCTCCAGGCAGAAAGCTATCTCCTTAGTGAAAGGATCTTGGAAAACACTAAAGCTAGTTGTCCGGAGGTACGTATAACCAAGCCATACCGGAAGTGTAATGAGTAGTTCTACCCCTGGCAATTTTCCTATGTTGAATTTACAAAAGAGGCTTGTTTTGAAGAATGTTGTGAGAAGGGCTGAATTAAGAATGAGAAGAACTCAAGTTCTAGGACAATAATTTGAATGGATTGAAAATGAAGACGGTTAAAAGTAAAGGGAAGGAATATAAAGTTGGCTTGTTTGACCAAGGTTGAAATAGATATGTCTATTAGATTTCTGGCTGGTATCTATTTATGGTGACTGCTGGTGAACTTTTACTGACTAGGACTGAACAATGAGGTTGTGATGATTTATTTATAGCTAACTGATGCAAGATGGATGAAAAAGATGCTTTATTGTAGTTAAAGAGAACATGATAAGATAAATAAGGAAAATTGTTTACATTTGTTGCGATAAAGGGAGAAGCCATTCCTTTATATATTTCTTTTCTTTTTCTTTGCTATATTTGTATTTATAATGCAGGTAGTCCTTGACTTACAACAGTTCTTTTAGCGACCATTCAAATTTACACCGGCACTTGAAAAGTAACATATCATTGCAGCATCCCCTTGGTCGCATGATCAAAATTCAGACACGCTTGGCAACTGGCTCCTATTTATGGCGGTCACAGTGTCCCCGGGGTCATGTGATCCTCTTTTGCCACCTCGAGCAAAGTCAATGGGGAAGCCAGATTCACTTAATGACCGTGTGATTAGTTGAAGAACTGCGGTGATTCACTTAACCAATGAAGTGAGGAAAGCTGTAAAGTGGAACCAATTCACTTAACAGAGTTCTCATTTAGCAACAGAAATGTTCAGCTCNATATGGATGGATGGATAGATAGATAATAGACAGAGAGAGAGAGACAGATAGAGAGAGAGATGATTGCTAAATAGAGGTGATAGATTACAGCAAGGGGGGAAGAGAAATAGATGATAGATAAATAAATGATAGATGAGAGAGAGAAATAGATGGTAAATAGAGAGATGTAACATGGATGGATAGAGAGAGAGAGAAAGAGAGAGAGGAATAGATAGATAGATAGATAGATAGATAGATAGATAGATAGATAGATAGATAGATAGATAGATAGATAGATAGAAAGATAGATTGATAGATAGATTTGTTCTTCAGGAGCCGCAAAGCCAATAGCACTTTTATTTTTAATTTTTAAATCTCTCCCTCTCCCCTCCCCTCCATTTCTTACCGCATTAATGTCATTTCATGCAAGCTTTGGCTCAGAGCATACAGAAATTAAATCCAGTCAATCCCGCTTTTCTGAATGAAATCAATTAGCAGATGGATTTGGTTCCAGTGATTATGAATAAAATCGCTGCCATGGACATCTTGCTTAAGCAGCAGTTGCTAATGTTCTGCTTGAGATCGGTTTGTGCAATCATTAATCATCTCTTCGGCTACCGGCAAAACGAATCAGACTGAAGGCATTTGAGACATAGGATTCTGACCTTGTCAGGTCTGATGTGAATCATTTTTTTCTTTCTTTTTCTTTTTTCCTCTTCCATGGAAGATTTAGATGGATCGATGTAAAGAGAGCTTGGATCTGAAAGCTTTTAGGCCAATCCATCCAAATAATTACAGCTTTTTTCTTCAAAAGCAAACTGAAGGCGTATAAAAAAAGATAGTAAAAAAATCAAGCAGCTCAGAAATGTAATAAAATTAAATCGAAACTTTTAAGCGTTCCAAAATACAGAATTAGACTTTGTTAAAAGCTAGTTTGGAAAAGTTGTGGTAGATTTAATTGTCAGCTTCTTTGGCAGCTGTCTTAAACGTCTTCCCAAGAATGATGTTGATAGAGGTTTTTTGAGATGAAAGAGGGAGGGAAGGAGGGAGGGAAGAAAGGAGAAGGACTCTTGAAATTTAATTTTTCTTTATTATTGTCTAATAGTTTTCCGGAATAAGACAGGGAAAGAAAAACATTTAAAGAAAGATAAAGGAAGGAAGGAAAAGAAAATGGAAGGAAGGAAGGATGAGAAAAAAATAGAAGGAAGGACGTTGAATAGGAAGGAAGGAAAAAAGAGAAAGAAAAGTATTGTATGGGAAGGAAGGAAGGAGAAAAAGAGAGAAGGAAATTGTATGAGAAGGAAGGAAGGAGGGAGAGAGGAAGGATGAGGAAACAGAGAACAAAGGAAGGTGCATGAGAAAGAAGGAAGGAGAGAGGAAGGAAGGGAAAGAAAGAAGTTGTATGAGAAAGAAAGAAGGAAAAAGAGAAAGAAGGAAGTTGTATGAGAAGGAAGGAAGGAAGAGGAAATGTGAATCTCAATTGCAAAACTGCAAACTATATAAACATGGTGCGTAGAAAAACAAAGTGTTATTGTAGTAAACATCACATAAATTCCAACTATTTGGTTGACGTGTTTCTGCCATCAATACTACACATCCGTCACGTACTTTAATTCAGTTAACCGTCATCTTTTGAGTAGTAAGTAGGATTGCTGTTTCCAAGCCGTCTACTCGTTGGAAAATAACATTTATACCCATCCATCCATCCATCCATCCATCCATCCATCCATCCATCCATCCATCCATCCATTCATTTTCCATAGCTGCTCAACTCATCCAAGTGACTCTGGGCATCTTACAGTTCTAAAATTATAAATACCATTAAAACAATGTTTAAGAAACATATGAAAACAAAAAATAAATAAATACTGACGCTAGTGTATCAAGTGGTGAAATTTGCTGTCATTCTCAAAATAGAGTTAGGACCTCTCTTGATTTGATTTGATTTGTCATTTGCTTAGGAAACCGATAGGCCACTTCCTTAACAGCCCTGGGATGGCTTCAAAAACCCAATTAAACATAATAAGAACATCATTAAAAGAACTGCATTTAAAAAGATGAAACCAACCAACCGGCAAATCATCTTTATTTGCTAAAATTTAACGGAATGGAATAACAGCTTTGGAAAGGGCCTTGGAGGTCATCTACTCCAACCACCCTGCTCAAACAGGGGGACCCTATATCACTACAGACAAATGGTTATCCAATCTCTTGGACCTGGGTACTTGAGAGACCGCCTGCTGCCAATTACCTCCCAAAGACCCATTAGATCACACAGATTGGGCCTCCTCCGGGTTCCGTCTACCAGCCAATGTCATCTGGCTACTACCCAGGGGAGGGCCTTCTCTGTGGCGGCTCCGGCCCTTTGGAACGAGCTCCCCACAGAGATTCGGACCCTCACCTCTCTCCAGGCCTTCCGGAAAGCCGAAAAAAACCTGGCTGTGTCGGCAGGCCTGAGGTCGATGAGTTCCCTTCCCCTCTCGAATCGTGTGGCTGTTGGATGTTTTAAATTCCCTGTACTTTGT